TAAAAGATTAGCTTAATTTACAAAAATCCACTCCTGGAACACATACAGTGATGTGCATCTTACCAGTCTGTGGGAGAGCTTAAATGACATCACTCATACCTCCTTGGTCTCAGCTGTACTAAGATCTAGATTTTACCTCTCTGAAGAAATAAGAAGTCTGATGCTCCTGTTCATGCACCTCAATTGTATCATTTAGTAATGCTTTAATTTTAATGAATATTATGACTGCTTGAGGCAGCGGAAAAAACTCTGACTTTTACATGAGACATAACAAATTGCAATACAGAGTATAATGTTAGTAAGGGACTCACTTAAACATATACTGAATTCTTTCTATCCCTCACAGACCTTAGCCCCTTATATCTAAGGAATCTAAATTTAACAGTAGGGATAACTAAAGGCTAGCTACAAAGAGTGACATTTTCTTTTCCCATATGATTTTCACATTCCATGTTCATAGATAAAGAGCTGAAGATACAATTCATATCCAAAATCTTTATGAACTCTGTAGAAACGAAAAAAAACCTACCACCATTTAGCACTATATATCACTCTGTCCAGGGCTCAACTACAAAAACTTCTTATAGGAGAAAAGCTAGTAGGAATCATCAGACTAGAGTCTGGTGTCATATGAAACATTGCATATAAAATGAAATACTTTATTTGACTGGTCCCCTCATCAGTCTTACATGCTGATAACCATGGAGGCAGAGTCTATGATGGAAAGATGCAAATTTTGCTAATGATTTCATTCAGCATGGCATGATGTTTCTTGCATTATATCTCTCATATGGCAAATTGAAGTAAAAGTTACTTCTTTTGCCTGAGAAACAAAGAAAATAGAATAAACCATAAATACAAGAAAAAAGTTTAAAGTTGTAAAAAACTGTATCACTGAGATTATAAAAGATTTGGCACAGTCCCAGATCAACCTAAGAATGAAACTAAATGTGTACAAAGCCAACACACACAAAGCAAATAATTCCTAGAATGGCAGAAACTCACTAATCAAAAGATTTGCATAATAATCATCCATCTGTATGGAGCACCATATGGCAAACAAGACTGTAATTTCACTAAATATGTTTTTCAAAGGAAACAGGTTGCTTGCATTTTCATCTAAGTAAGAATAACCAACCTAGTCATAAATGGCTGATACACCCAAGTGAGGGGAAACTTTTGATGTAAATATGAGAAAGGCATGGAAAGCAGTGTACTGCAAGAATCACACATCTGAAAAACGTATTTCACGTGTGTAACAGAATACGTAAAAAAAGAGTTTCAAGAAGAAGAGAAGCAGTGAGCTACTGGCAATGAATGACATGTTCAAATCTTCGTAAGATTTGTTAACATAAATAATTTCAAGTTACTAATGTATCAAAAACTGAATTCCAGTTTAGCTTTTCATAGTTACAACTATACTAATAAAATGAAAACTTCAATATTACTTTCTTATGCATATCTGAAAGAACAGAAAATATAATCAAGATCACACATGCAGGGATAAGATTCAGAACTCTTGTATCTGTTTATGTAAATTCTGAGAATATTAATATTGACAGCTTCTTCAGGAACAGAATCAAACTCTAGCATATCTATAAAAACCACATACCAGTCTTTCTATATTTAAATAGCTTTATTTAAACTCATGAACATGAGTTCACTGATTTTATAGTAAACAACAATTTTAGCAAAGCAATACTTTCAATAAGGATTTTAGGAACTCTGTGGAACTGCATGCTTCCTCTTTTTAACCATTGATGAGACAATTATTTTTAGGACTCTAAGCATTATTGTATATAAATCCATTGCTTGTCTGCTACAAATTCAGGTGACTAGAGAAACATCAAATGAAGGAAGAAACAGAATTCAGCAATGGTTGAATGGGCCTGTTTTGTGGATATATTTTTATAGATGTGGTAAGTGTGGTGAGGAGTCCCTTGCCTTTGAAGAGGAGGATAAGCAAATCTATTTTTGTAGGCATATATTCTTAGCTGTTTGGAGCTTTCAACAGACCACTCAGTAAGAAGATACAAGAACAGGTTGTATTAATCTTCAAGGAAGAAACTTGTTAAATTTCAAGCAATCTATGGGAAAAAGTAAATAACATTGTTTAGTCTAGGGAAAACTGAGAGGAGATCTCATTAATGCATATAAATATTTCAAAGGTGGGTGCCAGGAGGGTGGTGCCAGACTCTTTTCAGTGGTGCCCAGTGACAGGACGAGGAGCAATGTCCATAAACTGAAACACAAGAAGTTCCACCTCAACATGAGGAAGAACTTCTTTACATTGAGGATGGCAGAGCACTGGAACAGTCTGCTCAGGGAGGGCATGGAGTCTCCCTCTCTGAAGACGTTCAAAACCCCTCTGGACAAGTTCCTGCTCTAGGCGACCCTGCCTTGGTTGGACTAGATGATCTCCAGAGGTTCTTTCCAACCTTAACAATTCTGTGATTCCTATGATAAAATATTCCTCAATTTAAACCATTATCCAGCAAGCTTTAGCATATTACTAGTGTCTAAGGAAATGTATGCTTGGAACATGGTTTTGAAACATAGGCCTTCTTCTGACCTTTAATAACATTATGCTTTAAATTTCAAAACTGGAGCACAGAATTTCGAGTTATCAGGATCTGCAGATTCCATACCAGTTATACAGTTTTAACCATTTAAAGATTTCAGTTGTAATGCTTCTGAGGAACCTTAACATTCCTATTATTTATTTGACATTAAAAAAAAAGCATAAATGTAAGATATTAATGGGCTTACATGGACGAGAAATTTCACATATCAAACCTGCGATCCTCAGCCATATCCAGTACATGTAAAAGCAACTGCTTCAGGCTCCATATTTTTCTTAGTTACCTTGCAGAACTCATGCTTATATATTTTTATGAAAGAGAAGAGGTAGGTAAGATAATTAGTATTGTCAGATAATCATAAAAAAATACACACATAGGGCAGGTAGGGGCTTCTAGTTTAAGGAAGTCTTTTTACTGACAGAGTCTTCTGAACTTCTTATATAGTTGCTCATATCTATCATGTTCATTTTAATGAGCTCTACAAAAAGGTTACATTTTTGACCTCCAGAGCTCAAAGATCAAGCTATCACAGTTTCACTTCTTGTTTAAAAACTCTGGAATCTATTCATATCATGGGCATTATATGACCAATTGTTCTAATGAAAATTGGGCAGATTCTGACATATGAGTCAAAGTAACATATTGCCTACAGCTTCAGGGTCCATAATTGATTCATCTTTAAATAATTACCATATCACCTATAACCCTGCCAAAGCATGTTTTAAGACTCAGAACTCCCTGAAGAGAACCATGTTTTATTACTAATTGGTGTAGAGAAGAGAAGAGAAGATGGAAGGAGAAGGCAGCTGGCTTTAACTCTACTTCTTCAATGTTAGCATAAAAACCATGTAATTATTTCTTTTTATGCTTGTCTTTGGTGTTTCTAGGTTTGTTCAGTACTCACCTTTATGTAACTGGGTAGCAAGACTAACTGCAGGCTAGTAAAGGGTCTCCAATGACAAAATCACAAACTTTGCCTAATTTTAGCAGCTATGGTGCTGTAAGTTGTTTTCGCTTTGCTTTCTGAGCAGAGATAATGAAGGTAAGGCACACACAGAACCTGAGGCAAAGTATAAAAGCCCCATGTAATTACTTCAGAAAGATGGCAGTAGCCATGCAGTAGCTCTGAAGTTGAGAACATAACAATGTGAAGAGCCTGGATATATTGTCTGACAGTTCATACTGCCTCGAAATGGTAGCTGTAAAAAGCATGGTGTTTCCTGTAACTTACAAAGAAACCCTAATGGCACCTTGTAATGGTCAAGAAAGCTCAGTTTTGAGCCAAACAAGAATACTAGACACTTCAAAAACTTGTTAACTGAACAGAATTATTAAAACTATAATTAAATGTCAATCCTTTTGTCCAAGCTAGATGAGATGGGAACTCTCAGTGGCAGTTATGCCTCACTGTTGTTATTGGACCTTTAATTTAAAGCAGATGGCTGGTTTTGATCCAGATCCAGATCCAGATCTAAATGATACATCTTGCACCTTGCTGGACTGTCTCACTAGTGTCATTGACAGTGCTGCTGCCAGCAGAGGTCTTGGCTATGTATGTCTACATCATCCTGTGACTCTGCAACAACGGCCTTAGGAGGAGCCTGAAGACATTCTCTAAGAATGGTGACCCATGAATATGGATGTGCTTGGTAGCTGAGTACATTATTATGCACACGCATATAGGCTGTCTGAGGGCTATTGCAGAGATTAATATGTTAATCTGACTGATGACAAGTGTTCCTCAAAGCAATACAAACAGAGTTATTTGCCTCCTGCTACTGGAACAGGCAATATGACTACTGGCTATTGAGACAATTTTTCATAGATTGATAATTTTAAGTTAAAAGAAAAGATTAGCAAATCTTGTTCGACTTCTGGTACTGTAATGAATATTTTTTTTTTGTTAATTGGCTGCATGTGTACTTATTTTAAAATAACAGGTAGTTCACTATTTCTCTTTGATAACTTGATAATTTGTTCCAATGGTTACTCTCTAACTGCCTTTTCACCATGGTTCTTTGCTATTTTCTCCATCTTAGAGTCATTGACAGATTCTACCAACACTGACAAATCACAAAATATTTAATAAAATGAGGCCTTGTATTAATAACTGCAAAATCCAAAAGGAAACACCTCTGATCGTTTATAATTTTCCAATAACTTTCTGAAATCTATTCAGTCAGTTTTGCATTCATATAACACATATATAATCATAGAGTCATTAAGGTTGGAAAAGACCTTTAAGATCATCAAGTCTCATCATTACCCTAACACTACCAACCTCACTACTAAGCCATTTCCCAAGGTGCCACATCTCCCCCCATTTTAAATACCTGCAGAGTTGGTGGCTCTACCACTTCCCTGGGCAGCCTTTTCCAGTTTTGGTGAAGAAATTTTTTCCTAATACCCAATGTAAACCTTCCCTGGCACAACTTGAGGCCATTTCCTCTTGTCCTGTGACTTGTTACTTGGGAGAACAGACTGATCCTCACTTGCTATAACCTCCTTTCAGGTGGTCGTAGAGAGGAATAATGCCATCTTTTAAATCAGTAAGTTGTATAAATTACATTGTAGAAAATTGTAAGTATGTGAAATCTACAGAATCATCTTTATCACCAGAACTTGTATTTCACAGAATGAAATCAAGCACTGTCCAAATTCTGCTGTGCTGTGGACAGTAAGGGAAAACTAAAACAGAGTCTGTCACACCTATTAATTTTTACTGTCAAATTGTAGAATCATAGCATCACTAAAGTTGGAAAAGACCTCCAAGGTCTTTGAATCCAAATGGGACCCTACAAGGCACAGGGAACACACATAGCTTAGAAATCACTGCTAACAAAATTTCTTGAGCTTGTGATGCCAAATTTGCCCCAACAGGCACTGAAGAACTGCTCTGTTTCACTAGTAGGCATGAGTGGTATGTATATTATAGTGAAAGCCACATTTAGTTCTCCCTTAAAGGCAGTATTTCTCAGAGACATTGGAATAAAAGACTATTTGATATAAAAGATTCAAAAGCAATAGGATCAAATATGACAGCATGCCTTTCAACACAATAGTATTTTCATAAAGATAACTTCAGTTGATCTAGTAACTCTCTGGGACCTTACTTAATTGTTAATTCTTTTTTAGTTACCTGTTTTCATACAATCATGAAATCATAGAATGGTTTGGGTTGGAAGGGACTTTAAAGATCATCTAGTTCCAAGCCCTCTGCCATTGGCAGGGGCACCTTTCACCAGACCAGGTTGTTCAGAGATCCATCCAACCTGGCCCTGAACACTTACAGGAATGGGGCATCCACAGTTTCTCTGGGCAACCTGTTCCAGTGCCTCACCACCCTCACAGTCAAGAATTTCTTCCTAATATCTAATCTAAATCTACACTCAGTTTAAACACATTCCTGTTGTCCTGTCACTGCATACCCTTGTAAAAAGTCTCTCTCCACCTTTCTTGTAGGCTACCTTAAGGTACTAGAAGGCTGTAATTAGGTCATCCCAAAACCCACAAAGTTCTATTTCCCAGACTAAATTAACCCAATTCTCTCAGCCTTTCCTCATAGGAGAGGTGCTCCATCCCTCTAATCACCTTAGTGCCCCTCCTCTGGACTTGCTCCAACAGGTTGGTGTCCTTTCTGTGCTGGGGACTGCAGAGCTGGATGCAGCACTGAAGGTGGGGGTCTCACCAGAGCAGAGTAGAATGAAAACTATCAGGCTATTTTTGTATTATATTTAAGAGACAGTATTGAACACTATGCTTATAATGACATTTTACCTTTTCTACTGTACCTTTGCAATTGCCAGCCTTCCAATTCTAAACAATACAGGCACAACATAATTTTAGAAACTGGGAGAGGAAAATATTATGTTGGGTGTATCAAAAGAAAGAAAGAAAAAGAAACAAAATTCCTTTATTCATTTCCAGAATCCATCTACCAATAGCAGAAAAATAGATACAAGCCTTTTAATATGAATGAGAAAAGTGGTTCTGTGAGAAGAGCAACAATGCTAAGCTAACCAGAAATCACACTCTAACTGTAAAGCATACCATTGATTTTGGGATGACAAAGGAGATCATTTAAAACTGGAAATAATTTGAGCTGTGGATGTCATCTGTACACATCCATAGCACAAAGTAACCTGCTTGGATGGTGTGGGGTGAGCAGTGAACACTGGCTACCTGAAATTCTCCAAGGCTTTTGATGTGCTTTCCCACAGCTTCCTCCTAGAGAACCTGAGGCATTAGAGTCTAGAGAAGTGGTCTGTGTGGTGGGTGGGGAACTGGCTGAGGCATCACACAGTGTGGGGTGGTCAGTAGCTTCTTTTCAAACCAGCAGCCTGTCATAGGTGGGGTCCCCTATAGGACTGGGCACAATACTTTATTATCTCATAAGTTATCTGGAAGATGGGATCAGGTGTACCCTGGTGAAGTTCACTGATGATACCAAATTGAGTGGGGAAGTGGATACTTCAGAAGAGAGAGCCACTCTGCAGGATGACCTGGGTTGGCTGGAAGAGTGGGCTAAAAAGAACCTTAGGAAGCTCTACAAGACAAGTATTAAGTCTTGCACCTGGGAAAACATAATCTAGGGGTGCAGCATGGGCTGGGATCTATCCAGCTGGGGAGCAGCTCTGCGGAAAGGGACCTGGGGATCCTGGTGGACAAGCTGAGTATGAGCGAACAGTGCACTGCTGTGGAAAAGGAAAGCCAAAAGGAAGAAGGTTTTCATCAACAAGGGCATCACCAGCAGAGATAAAGAAGTCATTATCCCACTCTTCTCAGTACCTTGTCAGGTAACACCTGGAATACCTGTGTTTGGTTTTGGTCTCCACTATGCAAAAAAGCTGTGCACAGGGTGAAGAGTGTCCAGAGAAGGGCCGCAAAGATGATCCAAGGACAGGGAAGCCTGTCATACGAGGAAAGGTTGAGAGAACTGTGTTTGTTCAGCCTTGAGAAAAGAAGGCTTACAGGCGACATTATCGTCATGTTCCAGTATTTAAAGGGTTGCTACAAACAAGATGGAGACTCCCTTCTTACAAGGAGTCACATGCGAAAGCTGAGGGGTAATGAGTACAAGTTATTCCTGAGGAGATTACAAACCAAAATTTTTTCAAAATGAGAACAATCAGTCATTGGAATAATCTTCCCAGGGAAGTGGTGGATTCCTCAGTGTTAGACACTTTTAAGATCCAGATAGACAGGTGCCAGGCCATCTTGTATAGACTGTGCTTTTGCCAAGAAAGGTTGGACCAGATAATCCTTGAGGTCCCTTCCAATCTGGTATTCTATAATTCTATGTACATGGTGGAGTTCTTCATGATAAGATTAAACTGAAATCACTCTCAGCGAGTAATACAAAATTGAGTTCCCATTCAAAATTCAGCACTTCACTGGTTACTTTCCTATTCAACAGCAGAGGAATTAATCATCACATAGGTCCAGGAATGGACCCTGAAACATCACAGTTCTACTTATTCTGCCTTTCCTCAGGACTTTTATTAGCTGCTACTCTCACAGGATTGATTATTCCCTCCAAGTAAAGCACATGGCTACATCTGATTTAACAAACGTATTTTTAAGGAATCTCTTTTCAGGGTAAAACTTCTATAACAGGTAGTCTGTTACTTTAGGAAGGATTTTTACTAGGAAAAAAATATTACCAAGGAAGTAAAATGAAATAGAATGTGACGATTTGGGAAGTCTAAATTCCTCTTATCTACTCTATAGAACTAATACTTCACAGAACTTTTACAGTAAATTCTAAGCCAAAGGTTTGGATATTTTATTGTGTACCTGTGAAAATGGAGTCTTGCCTATGTTTCCTAATGCCTAATTCAGAGCAGTATTTGTTAACCAATTGATTTTTGTGCACGTGCCAAAGTACCAGTGCAGCTGTTAAAATCAATGGATCTCAGTCAAGTCTGAGTGCATCACTAGTTTATCTACATAAAGGTCTATAATTGGAATGTATATTTGTAGAAGATTTAAAGAAAGATTGAAGAGTCAAGATCAAAGGTCAAATCCAACCTACATATTCATTATGGTAGAACAGTCTTCTGCTTGCTATTTTTTCTAGGCAGCAACATGAGAGTGAGGTGGCTAAGGTTTGATACCTCAGCCTAAGCAACTAGATACCCATTTACAACTGATAAATTCTGTCACAAATTCAAATAAAGATTGAATTTATACTCAAGACTGATAAAGAAAGGCTTGGCTTTCTGACCTCAATAAAAGCTGTTATATCTGAAAACTTCTCCAGTTTTTCCAACTGTACCAACTTGTCTATAGAAAATATTTTTTACAATCCTGTCTCATCTATCTCAGTGTCAACGCTAATCCATTCTCTTACTATATCCATGAAAACTGAAAGCCAGCTCCCAACTCAAAGACCTCTGATGGTCCTTAAATAATGAGAAACTTTGTTTCAACACACATAGTGTAATATTTGTATATATTTGTATATATTCCAAAACCTGCAAACATGAACCGGGAGAAAAAACAAAGCAAAGCCAAAAAAATGTTTGTCATCTAAAGAACACTTAACTAATGACAGGTATTTTTCCATGAGATCACATTTTGCTTCTGTGAAATGAAAGAATGAAGAAAGCTGTTATACAAAGAGCTTTGTGATGTGCTGATGAGAAGTACTATACACTAATTAGGTACTTGTGAAGTTTCCACTGCTCACACTCTCCAGAACTATACCTTTTCCTACTTTTGATTAAAAAATGCTCCATCTTCAATCAATGTTTAAAGGCCTTCTGGCCAGCACAAGTGCAGCTAAAACAAATATCACCTTACTTTCTATCCATGCTATTTTCTTCTAGGCACATCTCTATCCTTTTTCTTTAGTTCCAGTTTTGCTGATTGTTTCCCCAGAAAACATAGTCTTCAAAATCTGGGGAAAATAATACTCACATAGAACCACAGAATCATAGAATTATTTAGGTTGGTAAAGACTCTTAATATCATTAAGTCCAACCATTAGCCCAGCACTGACAAGTCCATCAGTAAACCGTGTCCTTGAGTGCCACATCTCCATGTCTGTTAAATACCTCCAGGGATGGTGACTCCACCACTTCCCTGGGTAGCCTGTTCCAATGCTTGACAACCCTTTTGATGAAGGACTTTTTCTTAATATCCAATCTAAACCTCCCTGGTGCAACTTAAGGCCATTTCCTGTGGTCTTGTCGCGTGTTACTTGAGAGAGAAGATGATCCCCACCTTGCTACAACCTCTACCTCAAGGTCCTCAGCTGCTCCTCATAAACTAGTGCTCCATACTCTTCACCATTGCCCTTCTCTGGACATGCTCCAGCACCTCAATGTCTGTCATAGTGAGGGGCACAAAACTGGACACAGGATTTGAGGTGTGGCCTCACCAGTGCCAAGTACTGCCCTGGTCCTGCTGGTCACACTAT